CATGGGCTGCCGGGCGGGGCCGGATCCTATTAGCCAGCTCTCGGCCAATGGGAGAAGGGGGCGTGGCCAGCTTTCTTTGACAAGCTTTGGGAAGGATGCGTTGATATGTATAAAATGGGCTAGGGGAGGGGGGACACGCACTTGAGATCTGGCTTCCAGCGCCGGTCCCGCTCCCCGGCGCAGGCTTGAAGGGAGCCAGGTGGTGCCTTCAGATAGCAAGGGAAAGGGGTTCCTCTCCTTGGGGCAGAAGCTGAGGTCTTGTTGAAACCTGCTAGGAACTATCCTGTTCCCATCCACCTCCAGCCCCAAAATGGGGGAGTCTGTTTAATACCCTATTCCCCGGCCCCAGTGACTCTAATGACAGAGAGACACCTGAAAGGAGGCGAGCCCGGCCCTGCGAGGAGCTCCTTCCCATAGAGAGGGGAGCACGCACCAGGGAGACATAGGTTCCCAAGGCCAAATTGCAGTGTTGAGCGGATTTCCTCAGCCAACTGGTCAACTCTTTTGCCCTCCAGCAAGTGCAGAATTTATCTCATCACTTTCACCCCCACACTCCCATACCGCATTTCTATCCCGAAGTTAATGAGACGGTAACAAAAACTGTAACAATTTTTAAGGAGGGGGCACTTTATAGAAAGTCACAGAAGGATGCTCCCTTTTACAAAGAGAACAGCAGAATGACTGCTACGCGATAACGATCGTTAAATATACGGCAGAGCTACTGTGTTTCGTTGACTTGAGAAAAGGACATGTGACATACCTCACAAAAGAAACTCAACACCGTCCGTTTTGCTGCTGGTTATTATTCAATCCTCATGCAATCTATAGTTATTACTGGATATAGTTTCACGTGCTTGACAGAATTAAGGAACGGTATCTTTTTGTTACATTTTTTCTTTCCTTCCCATTATAATTTTGTGCATCTAGTACATCACAAATATGTCTGATGCGTGCGCCTACACGCGGAGAGCGTGCATGTTTGTACAATGATATTCAGTGGGAACGAGCAGGCAGAGCTACACCCACTCCTGCACGCACCAAAGTGAAGCTCAGCTGTGATGAGCTATCACTAATGACACAGACACAGTGCATAAGTGACCCTGAGCACAGACTCAACCCTGAGCGCGGTGCCTAAGTGCAATCACGTGGGTAACTCCCCTTCTCGTCCCCTTCCCTTCTGTCGGAATGTGAAGCAGGTGCATTTCTGTGTGGAACGAAGACAAAAAGCTCTGATTCCTTTGAAGGGGCAGAAAGAGCTGGGGAGTTGGAACCAGCTCGATCGGGGCTGGGTTTTCAGACAACGTGGCAAAGGGACAAAGAAGAGATTCATTTCTGTGTCCCGAGCAGGAAAATATTTTCGGGGGG